AATCTCTTTATGAATCTGTCTACCGAAGAATTCTCTGCCATACCACTCTGAGAACAAATAAGATATTTCCATAAATAAGGAAAGAATCGTGAGTGTTGTGGAACACTTGGTTGGATCGAAGTTAATATATATATCCATAAGTCGAAGGGAAGCTACTATTAGAAACTACCATGAAAGGGAGAAAACTACTGTTGTAAACTACAAACCAAAACTACTATGGATAGGAGAAAACTACCATTAAAAACTACCAAAGGTAACTAGCGTTAAAACTACCATTGTGGGAGAAGACTACCCTGTTTTTCGCCTAGCCCCCACAGTATCGTCCGAAAAAGAACTTCGTTCCAAAAACTTTAAAATGTAAGTACCATTTCTATATTTTACTCTACAATACAAAGGTCTTTGAATGGGCCATTGGGTTTAAAGGTTGACAGTTAAAATTTGAATAATTATCAAATCATCGCTTACCCGCGGCGCTGTCTAATCTGATGGGCGAGTTATCATTTTTTGGGTAACTAAATGTTATTAATGTAACCGAGCGGAGTCAGCGTCTCGAGCACCCTTTTCTCTTACGTTTCTAGACTAAAAGCCTTACAACGTGGACCAAGTGAAAAGCGAGTGCCTTTAAATCTTAGCTCTAGATAGTAGTAGGATTTGATAAAATATTGAAAGTTCTAGGCATATTTTTGTTTCTTAGGTTTTCACGCACATCAGTTTCAGTTTACGGTAGTTAGGGTCAAATAAATAAACTCAAAATTACAAAAAAGAATTTTAAATAAAGTACTTTATTAACTAAATTAACTAATAAATTCATACATAGACAATAAAGTTTTAAAAATCTTCCAATGAAATATCGAACGCTCAACAAAAGTCTTTCGAAGGTAGCTCGAGAAAATAAATAAGAAAAACATTATTCTGACGATGCAGACCCGAAAACGCTGCGAAACGTCAATAAATAAATAAAGTTTGTGTATTAACCCGTTCCAGGCATATTTATCAATAATACAGTTCAGCAAAATAAAATGGAGCGAATGCTATTTTAAAGTTGATAATAATAGGAATGAAGGCCATTATAAAATAATGTTACATATATATAAGAATTAATACTCATCTATTTCTTACCTATACATGGTAGTGAACATAAATTCTCCTTTTATTTGTAAAGCTAAGTAAGTAAGTGCTTAATTCATTAAATGTTATGTCGCTAAGAAGCGGTCTATTTTATTTATTAATTTATAGTCAGGCAACGTAGCCCCATAGATACATATCTTAAAGTCTAACATATATATATATATATAAACTTAATACTTATTATAGTAAAAACTTAATGAACACGTATTGACGGCGTCGTGTGACGCAGAGTGGTGTCCAGTATCCGCCCTCGGAATCGCCGGAACAGAACACCTTTCGGCCAAAGCTCTTCTTTCATAAAGTTCGCTATGTGTTCGGTTGGTACTCTAACCACAAATGATATAAATTAATATTATGGCGAGATCCCAACCGTGCAACAAAGATTATTATTTGTACTTTATTTGACTTTGTGCCAACCCCTGTACCCCATGAAGTTCCGTATAAAAATAATATTGCAAAGGTTCGAATAGTAAATAACGAAATAATATTTTCTGCTGACTTAGACCAACATCTCAAGATACGTTCGAAAGGTGGAGGCGTACGTAAATTTCATTTACCGCTGGAAAGTGCCGAGCGCTGGTCCTGAACGCAAACTCCACTTAATTACGCACATAAATTGAAGTGCTCTCGCTATACGATGGATGTAGCCACATTTTAACTCATAAAATATCTTGTCTTATACTCAATGTTGTGGTGAAGCTAACAGAGTCTCCCCCTACTAGTATTTATGAAGGCTAAACAACCGATTTAAGTCATACCTACTAATTAGCCGTTGGAGTTGTAACTATTGTAAGAAATGTGTTTACTTTCACATACAATTTCAGTTATGACTTAGGTTTTACTATATGTTATAGGTGGCATACGAACAGGCGGCTCACCTGATCTTGGACTAAGAATTTCGCTATGCTTTATGTCTATGCACCTCATGGTAAGTGATAACCGTCACCCAAAGACGTTTGTAACACCAGGAATATCACAAATGCGATGCTAGCCTTTAAGGACGGAGTAAGCTCTTTTTTTTTCAGTCCATCTTTACAATTTTTTTTACTTTATCAAATTGGAAATCTCACATGTCATAAAATTAATGTGACCGATTTTATAAACATAATCTAAATAAATAAATTTTAGAATTATTATGTTTTGAAAACATCTGTAAACTGATGTTTAGTTTAGATAGCTTAAACTTATTGTTTGTTTAATTTAGCAGCGAGGTGTTGTTTATACTTTTATCTACACCCATGCTTTAAAACCGCTATTAAAGATTCAGACATAGCTTATTGCTAACATTGAATATCCTGTCATAATAAAAAAACATTGTAATACACGTTTGGGTGTTATAATTTTTTTTTAATAAATTTAATACTAACACTCCTTTGCTTTTTAAATCCCTTCCACGCCGAGGGCTTGCTCATCAGACAGCCACAATTTTCACTGCTGGATGCGTGGTATTATGAATTTCAAAAAAAGGATTTTGTCATTCACGCGCGCTTCACTACTACCGAGCCAAAACTTTTCATGAATTTTAAGTCCTTCGAACGCCCAATGGTTTCAGAATCTTTTATAGAGAATTTATATCATGGGTGAAGAGAAAGTCTTGTATGCAACTGTTTTATTGGGTATTAAAATACCCATATGATACTATTATCCCACATTTGTATTTGAATTCTCCTTATTATGGAACAGTTGCATAAATAACTATTAAAAGGTTCACAAATATTATGTATTTGTAGCGGTTCTTTACTACAAACTTACCGACTATCATGTCCATAAAGTAAAGTAGTAAAGTAAAGTAATAAGTAAATAAATATTTATAATTTTTACTTTTAAGCATGTAACTGCTTGATGTTTAAATCTAAAGAAAATATAACTAGAAAAAATTCCACCCGGACCAGGCAGCAGACGGGACTCGAACCGCACCCTTCGCAATCCGGGCTTGTGGGATACCTATAATGCGAAGAGATGGCGCTGCCTTGCAGCTTAAGAATGGCTAGAAGAATTTCGACGCGGCTATCAGGGCCGCGGTAGCATAATTGGTCAGTGCATTCGCCCGGATTGCGAAGCGTGCGGGTTCGAGTCCCGGGGATTTTTTTCTAGTTATATTTTCTTTAAATAAATATTTCCAACACTCACACTAATTAGCCTGGCTTGGCCCCAAAGTAAGCACTGTGAGGCTTGTGTTATGAGATGCTAGGGTAACGGATAGAATACATATACTGTACATATCTCTTATCTATTAGACAAGTCCGTCCGTCCGTCTGTGGTGCTGTTTCAGCGGCCAAACCGTAAGAGATAGATAAAGAGAATATTTAAGTTATAAGTTAAGAATAGTCTGATAAGACTACAAACCGGATTTGAGTAACGTAGCACTTCCGGTTTTCGAGAAATCACGAATTTCAAACGAAACCACACAAAATCTCCGAAGTTCTCAATTAATTAAATACATTTTTTTTTAAATCAGGTTTTGGTGAACATTTGGTTCACTGGTTTGCTAGTATAAGTATATTTATAAAGAAATACATATTAAATATCCATGACTGGACTACAAATGCTAGTATTCGTTACACAAATAACTTCCCCCATCAGGATTCGAACCCGGGACCTCTCGAGTCGGCGACACCATGAAACCTGGTGTACAAACCACTCGGCCACGGAGGTTGTCAAGTAATAATAGTTCGTGAGTGTGAAAAATGTGCTTAGTTTGAATTGTGGTTTGAATGTAGCTGTCAGGTTTCAATAAAATACAAGCCTTTTGAGAGTCTCATATATATTATAAGAATTATTTTTTTGGTGATTAGGCTATTTCGGTATTCTGATACATATTATGTGAAGTGGCAGATTCCTAGAAGATCTCAGCCTCAAATAACATTTCTTAAAAATATATATTGAAGTTTTCTTTAAGCAGACTGTCTCTTTAAGTATAGTACACAAAGAAATTATACTTTCTTGTGCCATTAAATGCGAGGCAGAAATGTGACTGCTCCTTAAAGGATATTCTTGTAAATCAACTACGATTTTATTGTATAGCCAAGGAATTGCTGGGGAATGTATACAATATGTGATTGACAATGACTTTATTGCGTAGGAGGTATTAATTTTGTTTCAAGAATGACGTTGGTACTTTTAGCTTTTACTAACATTAAATAAATAAATAAATATTTCTCAAATACACCAATTAGCCTTGCCCCAAAGTAAGCACTGAAAGACTCGTGTTATGGGACGCTAGGGTAACGGATAGAATAATAATAATAATAAAATTTCCAACACTCACACCAATTAGCCTAGCCCTAAAGTAAGCACAATAAAGCTTGTGTTATGGGATACTAGGATAACGGATAGAATACATATACAGTACATGTATAAGTAAGTATATTTATAAAGAAAATACATCATAAATATCCATGACTGGAGTACAAATGCTCTTATTCATCACACAAACATCTGCCCTCACCGGGATTCGAACTCAGGAGCTCTCGAATCGGCGACACCATGAAACCCAGCCAGACCACTCGGCCACGGAGGTCGTCAAATATAATACATAATATACTGATACATATATAAGTTTATTTAATGTTGGAATACATATAAACATCCATTCCGACTTAGATACAAATGCTCGTATTCCTCACGCCTAAATTTGCCCCACCGGGATTCGAACTATGTAGACAACACCTTGAAACCCGATATGCATATCACTCGGCCACGGAGGTCGTCGACGTCGTAACACATTATGAGTATAATAAGACTATACCTAAGCATTATGTGTATAGCGTTGAGCACTCACGCTTATACGCAATCTCATCGCGTTGCGAATTTAGAAAGAAAGGATCATTTTGGTTATCTATATTTTGGTTGATGTTGCATCTACGTGGCCACGATTTATGACAAGTTCACTGTAGTATGGAAAAGAAACGTATATTAACCAAGAGAAATACTTACCAAGATATTTAAAATGGTGTGGTGGGTAGATAGACCTATAATGAATAATTCTGAAAAAGTAGTAAGTTTTATTTCAGAAACTTTGTAGCGTGTATGTAGTATACCTACTTCATAAAGTAAATAAGGTTTTCGTAATAAAGTTTGTTTTTTTAATTTGTAGGTAAGGGATAAATTTGGTGAAACAATCGATAGATTATTCCAGTCAGTTAATATTATGGTTGTTATAAGTGAGTTCCTTGTACTTTTTATGATTAAATAATAAAAGTTTCTTAAGGCTATATGGGTTACATACAATTCGTCCTATGGAAACCATTTATGCGCAAGACAACGCTTCGCACTTCGCACGTTAAATTAACAAATTTGTAAATTATATAAAGGTTCAGAAAGTTTTTAGGGAAGATCTGGGTTGGGTATGTCTGTCATGTAAGCATAAGAAACTGTTTACGCGATATTTATCTCTCAAATTTCCTTACCTTGTTCAAAAGCTAATGGGATAATGTCATCTGTTGAGAAGGAGTGTAAATCTTGCTTCCTAAAAGATCTTTGTTATGTGCCACAACCACATAATGTAATTGGCCACGCACAAGCATGCTGACATACCTACATCCTTGGATCACGTAGTTTTCCCTCATCGAACAAAGCATCTGTACGAAGTGTCCCCAAACATTTGCTTATTTTGAGTAAAGATACATACATTTTACATAATATTTCCATATAGGACCCTAACGAAGCCGACTATACAGAGCAAGCGTGTGGAGAGCGGGGAATTCCCTTACTGACCACAGCCATAACTAGTAGGCGAAACTCTGCATTCAGTCAATTGTATCAAAGGCGTCGGTCTACTGTATAATTTATACTATTGTGGTTCAATTTAGTGACTACTAAACTGATATGCACTCGATCACAAAAGCTAAAATTAATCATTGTCTTCTAGGACAAAGCAGTATTGATGTTGACGATATTTACCGTCTATTATGCAATGGCGTGAATATATTCAATATTGATAGGACCATACAAAAAGAAGAGTTGTACGATTATCTGAAGGAAGCCGTCTGCGAAGCTGTACTGATACCCAGAATGTACCCCTCCCTATACATTAGATCTGTAGCACTATCAATCACAATGTCAGTCAATAATCCTATAGAAGTGGACGACAGAGTACGGGATCAAATGTTTGATTTATCATCCGTAAAGTGTTGAGATATAATTCCAACTTCCTTACAAAATTTTCATAGTAGTTTGATTATTTGTGTTTTATTCTTGAAAGTACGCACCATATAACACAGTAGGAATTCAGAGTCTGTACTACTGATAAAATAAAATCACACGTAGAAGTGTAGTCAATTGAACACGTGGAATTGAATTGTTAAATTAATTATCATCATCAGTAGCATATGACAGTACCCACAGATAGAGTACAGGCCTTCCTGATCGATGGAGAATTATCTGTTTTATGTAAAAATCCGAGGCCGGATACCGGACACCACTCTGCGTCACACGTCGCCGTCAATACGTGTTCATTAAGTTTTTACTAACATAAGTATTAAGTTTATTTACTAATTATGATGTTTTATATCCGTATATATGTTAGAATTTAAGGTATCTATCTATGGGCCTATGTTGCCTGACTATAAATTAATAAATAAAAAAATAAAAAAGAGTGGCAAACAAGCATATGTCCCGCCTGATGGTAAAAGGCCACCATAGGCTATAGACTAGGGCTTTCAAATACCGGATTTTTTCGATACCGGTATCAATACCGGTATTAGCATGTTCAATACCGTGATCACGGGATCACGGTATTGAATATGAACTTAAAATCAAAGAATATTAAAACGCCCGTTTTATTTCTAATCAGTGTTTATTTCTGTTACATAGGTACCTACATGAAAAACAGGCTAAATATACATAAAATATACATTATTTTTTCTACCCTTCCCGGGTAGTCTTTTATTAATAAATAGTTCGGCGGAACTAAGAATTTGAGATCCACAATTTTTTTATTAAACAAAAGATAAACTATTAAAATAAAGAAAAAAATAAAATAAAAATGCCGTCCCAATAATTAAAATTCACATGGCGATCAACATTAAAAATATATTATAGGTAAATTACTTAACAATCATCTATTTATTTACTTTTTACCATTTATATATTTACTAATCAAACAATACTAAATAACAAATATTCAAAAGAATCGAAAATAAAACGATAAACATAATCAATAACATCTTAAGATTTAGGCATTTTTTGCAGCTGAAAGTGTGATCTTAAAAAGGACAGAGTGTTTAATGATTTATCAGATAGCGAACTTCTCAATTTGTTGCATAAATAGCTGATCAAAGAAAAAGCTCGCTCAGCTTCTACACTTGTAGGTACTACAGATAGTAAAAATTTGTAAGCTGCAGATAAAAATATTTCTCGAACGCCCCCACCGGTTTCGAAGATACACATCTCTACTCTTATTATCGATTCAAAATCAGTGCCTGTAGTTGCAGTTGTACTTTTAAGTAATTTGGATATTTCCCTCTCCAACTGTTTCTGGATGGACGCATCGTCATTTTCAACACTTGTATTTAACGATGACGATGAACTAGAAGGTTCTTCTGAAGCAACACTAGCAACCATCTCAGTAACTGCTGCGGTATTCAGTTATTTATTTTATATTTCAAACGAGTCAGTAAATTAACGATTATTTTATGAAATTCATCAGATGTTAGTTTTTTGAAAATGTCACCTTCGCTATCATTATCACTAAAATAAGCTTCAGGGTCATGCAAGTATTGTAATAATCCAGATATAGAGAAACGTCGTTCTTTTATACGTTTTCGAAGTGCCTTTGCAAGGTTTTGGCTCATCTCATTAGCCTGTCCGACAATTTTGTTAACATAAATATTAAAGCAATATCAGCTTTTAATAAGTTGGCATCGCGTTTGCAAAGTTCCAAAACAGTTGCTTTGACTACAGAAAAACTATTATAAATGTTTTTTAGAGTTTCCATTTCAAAGTCATTAAATAAAAAATCGGAATATAATTTTCAATCTATCAAAACTATATAACGATACTCACGACCCACGGGTGAAAACTTAAAACAATTCAAATAACAGGAGGTTACGAGTATTACTTTATAGTTAAGGAGCTGACGAACAAAACTGTATAAATACATCAAAATATTTTTTTTAGGAGCAGTAAAAAACTGAATGACGTACCTACAATGAGTTTTAGGTGTGATTTTTAATTCAGTAATTTAAACACTATTTTAAGCGGTTTCAATTGACATGAGTTGAAATTCAAATTCAGCTGGCCTGAAACCATATGTGTAATAATACCGTTTTGTACGCCAGCTCCTCAGTTTATCTCACTCGCGTTCATGCTTAACATTTCGTCTTTCTATTCATATAACCCTAATAAACAATTGTTGATTTGTAATACCGTAAAATCACGGTATTGACTGATCAATACCGGTATTGAAAAATACCAATAAAAAAACCGTGATTACGGTATTACGGGATCCCGGAATAGACGCTTGTGATACAAAAAATATCGCTCGAGGCGTTGCCTACCCTGGCCAAATCCCCTACTCTGTGGAGCCCTGTACCTAACTCACCGACAGAAATACTAAACCACCAAAAGGTATTGTTATTTTACTGTGGTCTTCTATAAGGTGGAGGTTACTTCCAAGACGGGCGTTCCAATTTGAGAGGAAAATCCACTAATGGCCTGTTACAAATTAACAATAAATGAGTTACAAATTTACATAATGCTAAATAACTGCTGGCAAACTTTCTTTGGACTTACGAGACATCATTCTCTGTAATAACTTTATATAATTATGAATATCGTTGGCTGTACCTATAAAGTTTGTTGCTCAACTAAAGTTAATATCAAGATTGCCTACTATCTAAGTACTTGTGCTTAGTGCTTAATTTGAGCGAAGGTCAACTTACAATGTTTTTATAATGGCCACGTATAAGGCTGCTTTTCCAACAGAGATGTGCTATGCTACTTTGCTGTGGATGCGTTTGATATCCACCAATCAAATTCATTAGTCCACATAGCATAGCACTGGTGGAAACGGGTTCAACTAAGCTATGTTTTTTATATGGAAGGATGCGTGCTCTTGATTCGGGCTATGATGGCCGCGAGTGGTGTAGCTATATCAAGAGAAGAGTGCTCGCGTTTGTCACTGACAGTAGACATGCTATCGTGCAAGCAAAAAGTTATTTTGTATCTCGCAATGTGCGAAGAAGCTCGAGCTGCGCATCTTTCTCGCGCAGCTTCTTTGCGGCGGCGCATCTTCATAGCACATCTTACTCGCCCTACTACATAGCTTAGCATCAGTGGAAACGGTCATGTAGTTTCGTAGCTGAGCTGACACATCCTCGCAGTAAAGCTGTATAGCACATCTCTAGTAGAAAAGCACCTTTAAGGTTATATCGTGTCAACCCTGCTTAAAACAAAATTTTCAACAATTTATTTTTAGGGCATAGCTATGTAAGATTAAATTACATGATTTTAAACTTCTAACATTCAGGTATTAAAATTTCGTTAAATTTATCATTCTAGATTGATTTTATAATCCTCAAGGATGTAATTAATAAAGATGAAGTAATAAAATTTAAGACGAGGCATGTGAAATTGGGCTTGCCTATCTTTCTCTGGATGTCAGAAATTTGTATGGAAAAGATAATCGAACTGATTGAGGTAAAGTTTGTTGAGATTTAATTGCTATATTAAGTATTTTCATTTTAATAATAAAATGACAGACTTGAGGATGATATATTTTGAAATTATCCAATCTGAAAATTACAAGCATTTTTGCTACATTTATAGGTATACCAAAGAAAACTTTACAACATTTTTTTCAGATTAGAAACATAAAAATAGCTTTTTCTTAATAGCCACTCACAACAAAAGCAGCTTATAACTTAAAACTGTTCACTCAAACTTTATTGCAGATTTCAGACGGAATCGTATTTGAATTTCCAGATGTATCACAAAGAATTTCATCAGAAGTTTCAGAAATTTGCAAAAAGGTATTAACTATTATATACTACTACATAATTCACAAGCTATTTATAAAATTTTTAATGTGTTTTTACTTGTTTTAGTATGAAAAGCCATTATTTTATTCGAAATCGAATTTATTTGAAGAAGACTATAGATATAATGGTAGACAGAAAATGCTATCTGTTGCAAAAGAAATAGTGAATGGTAATATGGACGGTGTAATGATATCCGATGTTAACGCGCCAATAGAAATATTCAAAAATATAATTTTGAATACTGTTGAAGCTCTGTGTTTAGCAGAAGAAGGACGAGAACTGGAAAACTGGTATACAACATTAATATTGAAAGTGAGTATGTTTCGTTATTCAGGAGAAACTCGATGACGTAATGGTTAACGCATTCGGTCTACGACCATGAAATGAAACAGTTTTCATAATGGCTGGTTATATGATTGGTGATCAAAAGTTTATTATCTCGAGTTCCTTTTACAATACATTCGTTTGGTGGTTTTTACCCGTCTACGCCACGAAATCTGCGCAAAGCGACGCTTAGAGAGGGTATTGTGTTTTATATATCTTTCAATTAATTTATTGGTTAATCAAAATCACCTAAGTGCTAAATTACTCTGATGATAAAATAATGTATACTTAAACATACCTATTCAATACTAGTATTAGGTAGTATTTATAAATACTATCCTTTAAAGTGTTGGTAGCACAGTCGCTGGATAAAATGTAGCCTAGTACCCGAGAAAATGTCGCAGGTGGTTAGCGCGTTCGGCTGCGATCGTTAAAGTTAAGCAACTTTAACAGTGGTCAAGTGAGCTCCTCCGTGTTTCGCAAGACACGTTAATTTATATATTTTTATTGTCTTTACAATGCAAATGGCGGACTTAATACCAGTATAGAATTCTTTACCAGTCAACCAGAAAGAAGGTGCAAAGAAAATGAAACGGCAGACAACGAACAGAGTAAACATCAAACAATGATAAAAACGAATTAATTTCGTTTTAATCATTGTTTGATGTTTACTCTGTTCGTTGGTTGCGGCTGCATCTGCAGTCTATTTGCACCCATCAATCCTCACTGAGTCCGCGTAGTGGTTCATGGCCCAATCTTAGGGAGATTGCGCCATCAACCATTCATTAGGAAGGCCTATGCCCCAGCAGTGGGGACATTAATAGGCTAATGATGATGAAACACATACATGAGATATAATAAATAACTGTTTACTTTTCAATAGATTAAGTCTCCTCAACTAGTACCTGTGACGACGATGGTAGCAGCAGTACTAGCTGCCTGGAAGAGTGGAGTTGCCGCTATTATGTTGCTGACGGCCAGTGGGAGGTCGGCTAGGATGCTTTCTTCTTTATCATCACCGTTTCCTATCTTAGCTATCACAGCGAAGGAATCTGTAGCTAGGCGTCTGCATTTGTATCGGAAAGTTATTCCTCTACACTATAAAGGTAGGCAATAGAAAACAGTAGCCCAAGCACGAACTTTGACAGCTTCGTAATCGTATCGCACCGTCAAAGTTTATATGACAACTAAGCAGCGCCCCTACCGGACGTAAGAACAAACTGGATATTTCCATACAAAATTTAACGATGACGATACGATTACGAATCTGTCAAATTTCGTGCTTGAACCTCAGATATTAGAATTTAAACTGCCGAGCTCGGCGACATTCTATGAAATTTAATACTTGTTAGTGTAGTTATTGTTTTTTCTCTTGCTATTGCAAATGAAGTTACATTATTACCTTTAATTGACTTATAAAATTTATTATCGCATCTAAGTAATCTCTCATATTACCTTTAATTAATGTTACATTCGAGGTGCTCGATGGTGCTTCAGTTAAGCAACTTTGGCAAAATGGCCGGTCATAAATACCTAAGATGGATGACCAAAAATGTATTATTAAGCTTCTCCCTATACGGAAAGACCGTACCAATCCACATTGGGCCCGCGATTTTGATCCTGGGCCAATCTATCCCTTCGGTAGAGAAGGCCTGTGCCCCATCAATGGGGACTAGGATAGGCTGATGGCGAATGTCACATTACTACCGATATTGAATATTCTTTCACTACTAAAAAGCCATTTTGTTGCGTTCAAATAAAGTTCACCTGGGCAAACCTGTAGAGGGTCGCTAAATAATATTGACCATAAAGATTATTACTGATCGTCAATTATTTTTTAATGTTTCAATCCGTAACATTTAAAACTCGCAGTATTAAACATGATGACCCTGTCAAACAACTCACTTTATTACTTTCTGCAAAAATATACATGATTTTACAATTTTATAACTAACAGCCAAGAAACTTAGGATAACGAGCGATAAAAATGCCTCGTTGTCCCAGATGTGCAGTAACAGCAAATAGAAACACATATTAGCATAATGTGTGCAATTACAGGGCGTCGGGCCGTAAACTGGCGCGAAGAGTGGCGAAACCGAGTACTTTTTGGCAGCGAATTTGCTTTGAAGACCGGCCTATTCTGCGGTGGAGCCAAATTAGTGGTGCTTGCACAGTCCGAAGAAGGCGCGGGGTGCTGCAACGAGTTCCAAATTGTTATCGCCCGGGCATGATGCGCCGAGTGAATTCTGCTGTGCATCGACTTTTTTGCCGTCATTTGTTTTCCAGTTACGATTGTTGTGCTTCGTAATTAAGTTGCAAAAAAAAGTATGCGTACATTTATTGATTTCGTTACGAATCTTATTTTTCGTTACGTAAAGTTAAATAAAATATCATAAATTCGGTACCTAACGTAATAATTACTTGTCTTCATAAGACTTGATGAATAATGTTATCAACATCTTTATCGTTGTACACGTTAAATTAGAAAAGTTGAGAAACTCTGATAGGATATTGTTATTTAAGGTAAAATAATAATACTATTTACTCGTATTACATCCATTATATTAATAGTCCTCAACACTTTTGTTCAACCCAAACTTGGAGTTTATGTTGAAACTGTTTTGAATAAACGGATTTTCCAGCTAACGAGATTCGTTTGTTTACGTTATTAATAACAAATTGTTAGCATAATTACTATTGCGGCGTACAAATATTTGAGTTGACAATCAGTTACGTGTAAGTAAGTGTTGCCACAAATTTCTGTAGTGGTCTATTTCAGCTTTTGGGAATTTGATAAACATAGTACCTACATGTTATTAACCGAGAAATTGAGTGAATTTAAACTAGCTTATTCACCGCAGTTTTACCTGCAAGGACTACAACTTTGATCACCTCTTATTGCAAGAACTAAAACCATTGTGTAGTTCCAAAAATACTAGTAAAGATTGCTTTAGTAATATACAATATATTAGGTCGCTGCCAGTATGTTCGGAACCTTGCCTAAAGGGACTCCTTTTAATAATATATTTTAGCTACTATATTATATTTTCCAAGGGTTTTTAGTTTTATGTCAAAAGGTTTCATGGTAAAACAAGCGTATCTCCCGCCTGTAAGCGGCCACCATAACCTATAGACACTTACGAAACAAAAGCTATCGCTTGCACCGTTGTCTAACCTTGACTCAGTCCCCTACCCCGTGGAGCCCTAGAACCTTACGCACGGACAGAAACACAGCATCACCAAAAGGTAGTGTCATTTTAATGTGGTCTACTGTAAAGTCTGCTTACTTCCCAAGACGGGAGCTCCAATTCAAGCGGGAAATCCGCTATGCCTTACCTCTCTTATTACTACCACCTTCAAGTATATTTACCACAGAATATAGCTTTTAAAATATTTTAATTGATGACTCTTTTACACTATTAATTACTGGAGCCGTATTGCATGAGGACTATTGTCAGAGCTTCGCTTTAAAAAGCTTTTGAAAGTGACGTTCACAAAGGTTAACTAGGTTTTCAGTACGACTATACTAGTTAGGGATTGTACAGAACGAAACTTTGCATTGTACCAGGAATCAAATAAACTGGTATTGCTGGCATTTTACAGGAATTTTACACGACAGGCTTATTGTTCTCAGTTTTCGTTTCGTTCTGGGAACAATCCTAGCTACGCTTATGTAAAAAATACTTAACCGATATTTTATGTGTTGAAATACATAAATATAATCATAACAATATGATTCTGTAACTAGAATTGAAAAAAAATATAAAAATCTCATATCACATAAATGTTGTCCCAGATAAATTATTTTTGTTCTTAGTTCACTCCACGATGCTTTCTAAAATAAATAGGGTGTGGGTATATAGAACAAAAAAAAAAACAAAAAAAAATATTTTATGTTTGTCAAAAAGCTAAACATAACAATGATAATCTAATAAAAACTTTGCGACTATTCAAGATTCGTCTGCATAAATTAATAAGGTAGTATTATTTTAATTCAAAGCAGAGTAGATTAAACTTAATAATGAGTAGATAAAACTTATATTTTATGAAAATTTTCATAACGCAGACAATGCCATGTTGCAACTTGACATCCGACTAAGCAGTCCCAATGCTTTGTTCTTTGGAGGGCTGGTAATGTCACACGAAATAAGAGTAAAACAGTCATATTAAGATGAGAGCTGCCTTTGAAGGATCGCTGCACCGGGAGAGTAGAAGATGGTACTTGGCTGTGACGTGTAGCGCGCTTTTCCTCATTGTTTCTTTCGGCATTCCGTTTTTAGCTTTTACTACTGCAGGGCCGGCTGAGTGGGGTACCAAAATTTAAAAATCTGTTAACATTCTAGTTCATGTTTTAAAAACATGTTTGCTCCTTAATAATGGTTTTGCTATATTTAATTCATAAATAAATGCATTTTTGATATCAAAACATGTCACGATGATCTACGTTTCTTTCCCAGAAATATGAAAATAAAAACTTTTTCTTGTAGATTATATTTAAATAATCCAAGCTGATATTAAAATGTAGTGCTTTCACAAGATTTTAAACAAAACTAGTAAGTTTTTTAAATGATGTTTGAAGGCAGACGAGTGGAACCTGATGTTAAGTGGTCACCGTCGCCCATGGATATCAGCAATGCTATCCCACTGCCTTTCGTGGAATCCCATTCTATTGCCATTTTATGTAAGCCTCTCTTGAAGGGGACTATGTTATAGTAGTGATAATATTTATTATGCGTAATTACTATGTATTAAAGTTACAATTTCAGAACGATTTGGCGAGACAACGATTGAAAGATATATTTAAATCACTACCGACCTTTATACCATCCTGTGATTCCACCCTCTTGCACGTAGTTTTTTCGGATGTCAGATAGTCTAAGCACAGAACCTTTCATTCTCATTGCATTCTGCTACATTTCAGAACTTGGGTTTACTTGTAAATTATATGGAAATGAGATAGGACGTTATAGTATAAACTAGCTGACCCGGCAAACTTCGTACCGCCATATTTTTCGTGTGTCATCGAAATTCCTAAAAGACTGGTCTAACGATTTATACCCTCGATGTTTTGTCAATATATTGAAGATATTTCACTGATTTTTTTTATTATCTTTTATACAAACCTTGCCGTGACAATAATGAATAGCTACAATAAATAAAAAAGTAATTATTCAATTTGATGCAATCTCTCGAAAGTTATGTGCTTATATAAATTTCGGTGATTAATTTTTATTTAACACAAGGACATAAACAGTCTTGATTTTTGAATTGATAATAACATGAATTTTTCCATCATTTATTTCTTAACAAATTACGAATTTTCTTTTTACCCGACTGCGCAATGTAAGAGCGCGAAGCGCGACGCGCAGACAGAGTATAGTGTTTAACAGTCTATATATGTATGTTTGTTCCTTTGTGGCACACTAGAAACCAAACGCCTGGACCGATTTTAATGATTCATATATCAATCGATTCGTCTCAATCATGGGAGTGCTACTTAAGATATGATACTAATCAAAATTCAATATGGATGAAATTAGGCGCCATATTGTGACGAAGAAAAAAAAATAAGTTGATAAAATATGTCGAGTGGGGTATCAATGTCTAGATAATCGAAAATCATGTTTAGGTTTCTAACATCATTTCATTTTATATGATTGCTTAGGATCTACAACGCTTTAAAGTTGTATATTAACCACTTGCGCTATTAATTTCATGGATTGTATGGATCTTTGTTACTCTTTCACCTAAAAATACTCAATGGATTTTAATGAAACTTGACAGTAATATAGCTCATATAATGATTATAACATATATATAATAATTTAGGTAGCTATTGAGTGAATTGGCCAAAATATAACAATAAGTGTCACATTAGACGGAAAAAAATCTCCCGTCTGCGAGTCATTTTGGCCTGCACTGCAAAAACAATAAAAGTTACATAAATGTAATGTAGAGCGTAAATGTACTTCTTAAATAGTTCTAAAAAATTTTAAAAATAAAAAAACCCGACTGCTTAATTATACTTCAAATAAAAACTGAAAAGAAAAAACAAGTCCAGTAGTCTATAATTCTGTTAATAAGGAACAAATTTACTTTAACAGTCGGGACCCATTAGGTATTCAAGAATACATAATATTTTTCAATAATGGGTCCCGACTGTTAAAGTAGCTTTGTTCCTTATTAACAGAATTATACACTACTAGACTTGTTTTTTTCTTTTCAGTTTTTATTTGAAGTATAATTAAGCAGTCGGGTTTTTTGATTTTTAAATTTAGCTTTTTTAAAGATAATTATGATTTTAAAAAATCATAAGTTTCGGTGAAGAAATATCTATTTATTATGGAATAAAATATTTACGGTTAAATTTATACTGAATTCGAGAAGTAATGAAGACTACATAATAGGTCGCGTTCTATTGCAAGATTTTCTGAACAAAGTAACATCGCAGTAAGTACTTGCTTCTAATAGTTTTGCTGTATTTGCAATAACGCTTCCGAGACGATAATGGCGTTTATACTATTCAAATGCGCTCAAATAAACTGGCCGATGTTTTGTTCCTGTGTAACAGTTGTTTCTTTAAACGGCTCCAATAAAAATGCAAATGGACTGTCTATGTGTTCTGTTGCCTGTGAATTCAATGGGAAACGAGTTTATCTTGTAATTTTAACACAGCCGTTGGATTTATTTATTTCCAAAATGTACGTACAATTCGATTTTATCCTTGCTTGTGTTAGAATTTTCTAGCCATCTATGGCCTGTCGTGTTTTATTAACAATATGTTTGGCAAAGTCTCTCAACTCAACATAACACTCGTAGATAAAGTTTCGTCACAGGAAATTGTAATAGTTGATTTAAAAACCAGCCAAGTGCACATCGGTTTTTCTTTTCAAAAACAAAAATACATTGATTTATTTATACACTTATTTATTTACTTATATTATTCCTAACTCACCGATATTTCACAACCTGCTCATATCTGCAGCGCTATTCTTTAAAATATTCACCCGCGGATCTGATTTTTTTGAGTGTGTATGCTGTTGGTCGTAGATGACCTTTACAGCGTCACCGGGTTTGGGGACGACGAGATCCTAAGGGAAATAAGCCGAGAATTGGCAAGTGACTAGAGGTATTTCAGGCGGATGGCATCTACCCACAGGGGGAGTCTCCTCTCCGTCCCTGAGGTTCAAGTGGTCGAGGTCGAGGTGGTAGAGGAGTGGTCTTCTCTAGACCACTCGAACCTCAGGGGGCCAGCTCAAATAGAGATCGTCTCTGAGACTTGGACCTCGGCTCTAGTTAGCCGTTCTCGGCGGATTACGCGCGGATCCGATGTGGATCCTCGCGGATTTATATCGAAACCGCGCGTGAAAATTTTACAGCATAGCACTGCTGCGCCCGCCCTTAAGAAAAGTAAATTGAAATCAGAAGTCTTAATAACAAGAATACACTTTCACTTCACTATGAGTTCGCCATGATTTTCATTTTGAATATTATATATCCATACTATTATTCAAATGATCTGAAGATACAGATGGGAAAATTCGTGGTGATTATGATTTTATTGTCTGTGAGTAAAGTGGAGAGGCTGTAAAAACATGTAAAATAGCTATAGTTTTTTTAAAAGTATTCTAAGTTGTAGT